AGGGATCATACCTAAACATAATAAAACCCATATAGGACAAACCTACAGCCAATATCATACTCAATGAGCAAAAACTAAACTCATTTCCCCTAAGAACAAAAACAAGACAGGGATGTCCACTTCCACCACTTCTGTTTGATATAATACTGGAAGTGCTAGCTATAGCAATTAGACAAGAAGAAGAAATAAAAGGCATCCAAATTGTAAAAGGAGAAGTAAAATTATCCTTATTTGAAGATGATATGATACTATACACAGAAAACCCCAAAGACTCCATCAAAAAAACTATTGGATCTAAAAGTGAATTTGGCAAAGTAGCAGGATACAAAATAAACACCCAGAAATCTATGGCCTTTTTATACACTAAAAACAAACTCACAGTAAGAGAAGCGAGGGGTGGGGGAGAAAAAAAGAAGGAAAAAATCCCATTTACCACTGCGCCAAAAAAATTAAGATACCTAAAAAAAAAAAAAAAAAAAAAAAAAAAAAATTAAGATACCTAGGAATAAACGTAACTAAGGATGTAGAAGACCTGTACTCAGAAAACTACAGGACATTTTAAAAAGAGATAGAAGAAGACATGAACAAATAAAAGAATATACCATGTTCATAGATTGGTAAAATCAACATCATTAAAATGTCCATACTAACCAAAGCAATCTATAAATTCAATGCAATCCCCATTGAAATACCAACGGCGTACCTCAAAGACCTAGAACAAACTCTCAAAACATTCATCTAGAATTAAAAAAAGACCCCGAATGGTTGCAGCAATCTTGAGAAAGAAGAACAATGTAGTAGGGATCACAATACTAGGTATCAAGCTATACTATAAAGCCACTGTTCTCAAAACTGCCTGGTACTGGCACCAGAGCAGACATATAGACCAGTGGAACAGAACAGAAAACCCAGAAATCTACACAAGCCAGTATGCTCAATTAATATTTGACAAAGGAGGTGAGAGCATACAATGGAGTTAAGACAGTCTCTTCAATAAATGATGTTGAGAAAACTGGAAAGATACTTCAAAAAAAATGAAACTAGACCACCAACTTATACCATACACAAAAATAAACTCAAAATGAATGAAGGGCTTAATGTAAGATGGGAAACCATAAAAATCTTAGAAGAAGCCACAGGCAGCAAAACAGCAGATCTTTGTCATAGCAATATAGCTCCTAGGGTAGTGAAAACTAAGAAGAAAATAAACAAATGGGACGACATCAAAGTAAAAAGCTTCTTCACAACAAAAGAAACCATCAACAAAACAGCAAAAAAGCCCATTGCATGGGAGAACATATTTGCCAATGTTATCTCCAATTGTAGTTTAATCTCCAAAAATTACAGGAAACTCTTACAACTTAATAATAAGAAGATAAACAATCCAATCAAAAATGGGCAACAGGCCTAAATAGACATTCAGAAAGCCAAGAGACATATGAAAACTGCTCAAAGTCACTAATCATCTGAGAGATGCAAATCAAAACAACAATGAGATATCACCTCTCACCTGTCAGAATGGCTATCATTAACAAATCAACAGACAACAAGTGCTGGCAAGGATGTGGAGAAAAAGGAACCCTTGTGCACTGCTGGTGAGAATGCACACTGCAGCCACTGTGGAGAACAGTATGGAGTTTCCCAAAAAACCAAAAAAACGAAACTCCCATTTGACCCAGTGATCCCACTTCTAGGACTATATCCCAAGAAACCAGAAACACCAACCGGAAAGGATATATGCCCCCTATGTTCACAGCACAATTTACAATAGGTAAGATTTAGAAACAGCCTAAATGCCCATCAGCAGATGAATGGATTAGAAAACTGTGCTACATCGAATACACCGAGGGAGAAGATGGGAGGAAACCAAGATGGCTGCATAGGTAAATGCCTAACTGCAGCCTTACATAACAATTTCAAAAAATACAACTAAAAAATAAAGTGGACATTATCCAGAACTACAAGCAAGTTGACTGACTGGAAATTCTACAACTAGAAGAAAAGAGAAAACCAGAAGGAAAAATCAGAGGAGCTGTGAAAGCCTAAGGTACGGAGACCCAGTGCACACATGGGGAAAGGACGGAGCCGGAGAGGAGGGGTGGCTGAGTGCCTGGCTGGCGTTCCCTAGCGGGAAGGAGATAAAAGCTCCAGACTGTGCTGAACCCCAGTTCTGACAGCACTGAACCCCAGTTCTGGGCGAGACCCTGGGGTCCCAGGCTCATACAGAGGGATTCTAGGCTGTAAGGTGGAAACTCAGGGGAGCAGCGAAAGGCAGAGCCCCAGAGTAGCGCACATTGCACACAGAGGAGGGACTGTTGACTGTGCCGCTGGATTGCCCTAGAGGGAAGGCAACAACAGCTCCAGACTGTGCTGAACCTCAGTTCCAACTGCACTGAACCCCAGTTCTAGACCTGACTCTGGGGACCCAAGTTCATACGGAGGGAATCTGTGCTATAAGGCGAAAACTCAGGGAAGCGGCAAAAGGCAGAGCCCCAGAGTCGTGCACATTGCGCACAAAGGACTGACTGTTGACTGTGCCATTGGATTGCCCTAGCAGGAAGGATACAAAAGCTCCGGACTTCATTGAACCCCACTTCCAACTGCACTGAACCCCAGTTCCAGGCGCATTGGGGGAGAGACTAGACTGTCCAGTAGTGGGTGAAACTCGAGGGCACCTCTGTCAGAGGTGCTTGCAGCAAGTACCAAAAGACAGTGAGGAACACTGAGACTCAGGAACCTCATAGGGCGGGGTTGACAGGAAACCAAGGCTATAGGCTCCACCCTGAAACTCCGTCCCATCCAAGCTGAGCACAGAGGCTTTTGAATAAGGCTGTCTCCCGGCATAGACACAGCTGATCCTCACAGTCAATTGGCCTAGAGGTCAGTTCCGCCCAGTGTTATCAACAATTAAGACTTAACTACAACAAGGCTGTACACACAGTCCACAAAGGGGTGCACCAACAGTGTTTACCTCAGATAACTGGGAGGCTGACCCACTGAACCATTATAGGACACCTTAACACAAAAATCCACCCTACAAACTCAGAGAAGCAGTGAAAATGCCGAGACAAGAAACAGATCACAAACAAAAGAAATGGAGGACAAAAAGCGACTGGATATAGAGTTCAAAACCACACTTATAAGGTTTTTCAAGAATTTCTTAGAAAAGGCCAATAAAATAAACGAGACCTATGAGGATATGAAAAGGGATCAACTAGAAATAAAGAATACATTGTCTGAAATAAAAAATATTATACAGAGTCCTAAAAACAAAATGGAAGATTGCAAGAATCAAGTAAAAGATTTGGAACACAAATACCCAGAGAACACTCCTCCGCAGAAGCAAGAAGACAAGAGAATCCAGAAAGTTCAAGTTAGTGTAAAAAACCTCTGGGACAACTTTAAGCAAACCAACATCAGAATATTGGGGCCCCAGAATATGAGAGAGGCAAGATACCAAAAATATACTGGAAGAAATAGTGACAGAAAACTTCCCCCACCTGGTGAAAGAAATAGACTTACAAGTCCAGGAAGCACACAGAACCCCACACAAAAGGAATCCAATGAGGACCACACCAAGACACATTATAATTAAAATACCAAGAGCAAAAGACAATGAATATTAAAAGCAGCAAGAGCAAAGCAGGTAGCACCGGTACGATTGTCAGCTGATTTCTCAACAGAAATCATGCAGGCCAGATGGGAATGGAAAGAAATATTCAAGGTGATAATAACAAGGACGTACAGCCAAAAATACTCTACCCAGCAAAGCTATCACTCAGAATCAAAGGCTAGATAAAGAGCTTCATCAATAAAAAAAGCTAAAGGAGTTCATCACCCCCAACCAGAATTATATGAATTGCTGAAAGGGGTTCTTTAGGAAGAGGAAGAAAATAAAGATAAAAATTATGAACAATATGTAACTATCAACAAGTGAATCTAAAAACCAAGGGAATTAAAAAACCTGATGAACAATATTAACTGGTGAATATAATAGAATCAGAGGTATGGAAGGGGAGTGGACTGATGATTCCTGGGGAAAAGGGGATTGGAGGGAAGAGACTGAACATAAACTGTGCACCTGTGGATGAGGACAATGGGGGTGGGGAAAGGGCAGATGGTGGGGTGGGAACCTGGGGAAGGGGGGAAAAAATGAGGAACTTTTTTAACAATATGAACAATAAAGATTTATTTTTAAAAAAAACCTGTGCTACATCTACAGAATGGAATACTACAATGCTATAAAAACGAAAGAATTCTTACCATTTGCAACAGCATGGATGGAACTGGAAAGCATTATGCTAAGTGAAATAAGCTTTCAATGAAAGAAAAATACATGATCTTGCTCATTTATGGATAATAAAAAACATAAACTGCTGGACAAAAATAGATACAGAGGCAGAGCAGCACTGAACAAACTGTCAAACTACACCGGGAAGGCTGGGGAGGGTTGGGCAAGCAGGTAAGAGATCAACCAAAGGACTTATATGCATGCATATAAGCATAACCAATGGATACAAGATACTGGGGGTAGAGGAGACCAGGAGAATATCAAAGAGGGGGAAAAGGAGACGTGTACCACACTTTGTAATACTTTAAGCAATAAAATAAAATTTAAAAAGTAAGCTTTTCACCTAGCAATAGAATATGCAGTCATGTACAGCATAGTTAAGTCTGCTTGCCAGCACCAGTCATAGCTCTTTCAAAGCAGCTCATGTAACTCTTTGAAATCTACCTTGTTTTGTCTTCACAAACTCCCTTTCTTTCATGATTGAAACACAGTTGGGGTTTCAAACAAAATGTAATCTTCCAACCCCAGAAGTAACACTTTGTTTGCCTTGACAATCTTGGTCAAAACATATTGACATTGTGACATCAATAAAATGCTATATATGTAATTATAACCTATGAAACCCACAAAAATTTTACAGACTCCTCAGGAAAATTCTTATTACAAACAAAATATACTTTACCATTTTTATTTTCATAAATCCAATTACCTTTGACAGATTCTTTTATTACAGCAACAAATTGAAGCCAGAGAACATCAGGATCAATTTCAACCCAGCCAAATTGAGGACAAAGACTTACTACCTATGGAAAAGACAAGATTTAGTATAAACAACCTAAGATCAAGTCAGTAGTATGTGGGTCTTAAGATTACTTGTTAAAATCATTAATATGATTTTATAAATTATCTAATTTATTTTTAAGTGGAAAAAATATTTATACGAAATAATAAAAAATGATACACCAAAGTAACAGTTTTCTTCAGTTTGAGTTTACAGAAGATTTTATCTTTATTTTCCAAGTTTGTCTTTATTTTTGAAGATTTCTACAATAAATACATGTTATTTCTGCAATAAGAAAAAAGTCAGACACTTTAGAAAACAAAAATTAACAAATAACATACCAAGTTCTGGTTCAGACTACGTTGGAGCAAACATACTCCACTCTGTCCCTCTCACTGAACGCAGATATAAAGCTGGGCAGAATGCATGGAGCAGCTATTTGGGGACACAAAGTATATTGGGGAAGGTGGAGAGGGTCAAAGGATAGAATTCAAGTACTACTAGACTGGTGGTAAGTTTTCTATTTTTCTTCTGGTATTCCCTAGACTGGACACAAGGCAACTTGAAAATCAAGTGGGAACCAAGCTGAAACCGGTTTGGCTCAGTGGTAGAGCGTCGGTCTGCGGACTGAAAGGTCCCGGGTTCGATTCTGGTCAAGGGCATGTACCTTGGTTGCGGGCACATCCCCAGTAGGGGGTGTGCTAGAGGCAACTGGTCGATGTTTCTCTCTCATCGACGTTTCTAGCTCTCTATCTCTCTCCCTTCCTCTCTGTAAAAAAATCAATAAAATATATTTAAAAAAAAAAAAAAAGTGGTAACCAGGATGCAGTAAATACCAAAGAAAGCACTTTTCTTTTGGCTAACCCTGAGAAGGAATGGGGGAAAGCCCCCATATTTCTTTTCTTTCCCCAACCCCTTGCCTCCACACTTTTGTACCCAGGCTAACCCGTAGTGGTGGCTGCCTTAGTAACCACAAGCACCTAAAGTACTGCGAGGGTAAAGCTTTCTCTCCAATCAAAGGAGCTGTGGGTCCAAAAGGTTAACCTGACTCCGCTGGCTTTTTTCTCTGTGTGTGCTCCTGATGCCTACCCCCAGATATGGGAAATGCCTGGCAGAATAGTGTAATGAAAGTTCCAGCTTTCTAGGAAGATCTCAGAGCGGAAGGAACTTTTGAGAAAGCTATTCCAGAAAGCTGTGTATAAATTCCTAGACTCATCTCAAAGCTGCACATCTGTAAATGTAATCCTAAACAGCATAGCAAAGATGTTAAGGATGAGAACTACAGGGCATATCCAAACAGTACTTCCAAGTGTCAGAACAGAACACTGAAACCAAAGTCCACAGAAGGCTGGTCAGAATTTTTAGTCTGAGCCCAACTGTATTAATTGCCTGCTAAAAGAAAATTACAAACATTCACCACAGGATTTACACAAGATCCAGAGTATTAAACCATGATGTTCAAAGGGTCCAGGATTATAGGGTCCAAAATTATAAAATGTCAACTCAGACAGGAAAAGATAATCAATAGATACCAATACAAAGATGACACAGAAGATACCTGAAAAGGGTTTTAAAGCAGTTTCAAGAAGAACAAATTCTTTTTAAACAAATGGAAAGACAGAAAGTCTCAGCAAAAAAATAAAAGACATAAAAAGAAAATTTTTAGAATTGAAAAATACAATAATTGGGGGAGTGGAAGAAATTGAGTGATGATGGTCAAAGGGTACAAATTTTCAGTTATAAGTTTTGAAGACCTAATGTACAGACAGCATGGTGACTATAGTTGTTAATAATGTGTTGTATACTTGAAATTTGTTAAGAAAGTAGTTCTTCACATAAACACACACAAATGGTAATTTTCTGAGATTATAGATATGTTAATTAATTTGATTGTGATAATCATTGCACAATGTGTAAGTATACCAAATATAATGTTCACCTTAAATATTTACAGATTTTATTGGTCATCATACCTCAATAGAGCTGGAAAAAATCAATTTAAAAAAGAAAAATAGTTAAAATTAAAAAACATACTTGATGAGCTTAATAGTAGAATGCAGATAGAAGAAAGTCAATAAACTTGAAAATGGTTCAAAACAAATTATATATTTTGAATAACAGAAAGAAAAATATTGGAAAACATGAATAAGGTCTCAGGGATCTGTGGGAAAGAGCTAAAGGTCTACTAGTTATGCCATCACAAGAGGCTCAGTGCAAAAACTCATGCATGGCTGGGGTCCATGTGCCTGGCCAGCAATTAGGGCTGACTGGGGCCATTCTGATTGGGACCATTCTGACTGGGAGGTTGATTGGCCGGCTGTGGGGAGGGGCCACCGGAGGTTGGCTGGTGGCAAGGGGTTGGCTGAGGGAGCACACTAACCAGCAGGGGGCAATTCCTATGTTGAGCTTCTGCCCCCCTAGTGGTATCATCTAGTGGTCAGGTCGTAACAGTCACTTAGGCCTTTATATATAGAGAGAACTATTAGTAAAGAAGTGAGAGTTCCATGCAGAAAAATATGACATCAGGGAAGTAATAGTGCTTAAAACTCTTCAAATTTGGTGAGATTTTAAATCTGTATATTCTAGAAGTTGAGAAAATGCCTAACAGGGTAAGTCCAAATTTATACACATCAGATTCAGCATAATTAAAATGATGAAAACTAAAACCAAAAATCTTGAAAGCAACCAGATACAGTATATATATATAAAACAATAATTTGAATGAGTGTAATTTTTTTCCTCAGAACAATGAATACCAGGAGGAAGTAGCTCAACATTCTTAAAGTGTTAAAATAAACAGTCATCCACAATTCTATATCAAAATTCCTGTAGAATTTTTGTAGATATAGACATGTTGATTTTACAATTTATATAGAACTAAAATAGCCAAAAATGTTGAAAAAAATAAAACTGGAGAAATCACACTACCCAGTTTCAAGACTTACAATTATAAAGCTACAGTAATCAAGTAGGTGTAGACAAATAGATCAACAGTATAGAATAAAGTGCAGAAATAGACCTATACAAAGATAGTTCAATAATTTCTAGCAAATGTGTAAGGCAATTTAATGGAGAAAAGATAGCATTTTCAACAGAGTTTGGACAATTACATATCCATGTGCAAAAAAATTACCTTCAATCTAAACCTCATATCTTATACAAAAATTAACTCAAAAGGTAACATAGATCTAAATGTAAAACTGTATAATGTTTAGAAGAAAACATAGGAGAAAATCTTTGTTACTTGGGGTTAGGTGAAAAATTAGAGATGACACCAAATGTATGATTCATAAAACAAAATAAATTGTATTTCATCAAAATTAAAAACATTTGCTCTGCAAAAGATACTGTTAAGAAAACAATGCCGAAACCGGTTTAGCTCAGTGGATAGAGTGTCGGCCTGTGGATTGAAAGATCCCAGGTTTGGTACCTTGTTTGCGGGCACATCCCCAGTAGGGGGTGTGCAAGAGGCAGCTGATCGATAATTCTCTCTCATCAATGTTTCTAACTATCCCTCTTTCTTCCTCTCTGTAAAAAATTAATAAAATATACTTAAAAAAAGAAAATGAAAAGACTACACAGACTGATTGAAAATATATGCAAATCATATAAACCAATATAGGAATCATATTAAAAATATATAAAGAATTCTCAAAACTCAACAGTAAGGAAATAGCCCAATTAAAAATGGACAAAAGACTTGAACAGGCACTTTACCAAAGAAGATTATATGGATAGCAAATAAGCACAAAAAAATATTCAACATCATTAGCAATTAAGGAAATACAAGTCAAAACCACAATGAAACACCACCATATCTATTAGGATGCATAAAATAAAAAGCACTAATAATATCAAGTGTCATGAAGAACAAATGGAACTCTTATACATTGCTGGTGGGAATGCAAAATGGGACAGCCAATCTGGAAAAGTTTGGCATTTCTTGTTAAATTTAATATTCACTTATCCTAACACTCAATAATCCCACTCCTAGGTATTTATCCTAAAGAAATGAAAACTTATGTTCACATTAAAATCTGTACAAAATGTTCATATTTTATTCAGTTCTATTCAAAATTACCAGAAAATGGCCAGGACCGGTTTGGTTCAGTGGATAGAGCGTCAGCCTGCGGACTGAAAGGTCCCGGGTTTGATTCCGGTCAAGGGCATGTACCTTGGTTGCGGGCACATCCCCAGTGGGGGGTGTGCAAGAGGCAGCTGGTCGATGTTTCTTTCTCATCGACGTTTCTGACTCTCTGTCCCTCTCAATTCCTCTCTGTGTAAAATCAATAAAATATATTAAAATAAAAAAAAATTAAAAATTACCAGAAAATGTAAGCAACCCAAAATGTACTTCAACAGGTAAATGAATATGATATATCCATAATGGGTTATTACTAAGAAATAAAGAGATGAACAAGATTGATACACACAACAACATAGACATATCTAAAAGGAATTGTGCTGAAAAAAAAATGCCAGTTTCCAAAGAATATTTACTATATTGTTCCACTTGATGATGTTCTCAAAAAGAAAAAACTGTAGTGATGGAAAATAGATCAATAGCTATCAGAAGTTATGTTCAGGAGGATGGTATGACTACAAGGACTAACAGAAGGAAGTATTCTTGGATATGTCTACACATGTACTAAAACTCACAGAACTTATTCACTACAAAAGTCAATTTTAGTGCATATTAATTTTTAAAATAAAAGGAACCTATAGCTTTAGGTTAAAATAACTTAAATATATATAGTATTTTATCTCCAATTCCTCTCAAGACTCAAGATAAAAACATTAAAATGGTCCACGTAGCTCAAGAGATCGAACAAGTTCAGACCAGGTTTTAACAAATGTTTTGTTTTTTGTTTAATTATGTCTGTACTAGAGGCCTGGTGCATGAGGGAGAATAGGGGGAGTCCCTCAACCCAGCTTATGCCCTCTCGCAGTCTGAGGCCCCTCAGGGGATATCCAACTGACGGCGTAGGCAGATATCCCCCGAGGGGTCCTTAGCACTGCCAC